TTTCTCCTGCCGCACCAGGTAACCCAGGAGGACCACGAGCTCCTTTCAAACCAGGCTGTCCCATTGGTCCCGCCCGACCATCGTCACCAGCTGGCCCCGGATGACCTCGTGAACCAGGTGGTCCTGGAGGACCAGGATCACCAACTGGACCTGGTGGTCCGATTGGGCCAGTGATACCAATGACACCAGGGAAGCCGGGAGGGCCAGGTTCACCAGGTGGTCCCTTAGAAATGAAATGATCAGAAGGAGAATAGTGGTCGTGATTCAGTGGAATAAATAATGACAGTAATTTCCTGAGTGTACGCGTTCAAGCGGCAAGTGATGTGATGTGATGTGATGTGAGGGAGATTTACAGCATAAATTACTGTATACACTGTATACTTAAAAGTTATAAGTTTACACTCTAATGCCTGGTTGTCCCGCCAATACACCGGGGCTTATGGGTTCAAGTCCCAATCTGGATGGCCAACTCAAAATGACGTGAAACTCTCCTGTTCCCAACAGCGAATTGGCTTCATATGATAGATTCTGAACTTTCCGTTGCCACATGCGACAGAATCATGCGCCTGATCTTAATTGAATTTTCCACTAAATTTTCAATGTTGATCTTAATTAAATTTTTATTTGACACCTTAGTTTGCAAATAAATATGAGCAAGGTTTAGGATAAGCAGTACTTTACCTTTGACCATTTATTGCTAAGAATTTTACAGCAGTACTATTTTTATAATCAGTTTTACTCTCATGATTTATGCATTGTGCAATCTGTTTTCTGGTAACATGCTGGGGAGGGGAATCGAAGTGACGTTGTGGTGATGGTGAGACTTGGAGACATTATCTCCGAAGGACATAGACAACTCCAATATGATTGCTCTTCCGTACATAATGCACTTCACTGGTCACATCCTTCCAAAATTCTGGGTTAGAAGTTTTACTTGGATGCGGTGGAGGACTGCTCGTAGTTCGTATAATAAGTGTGGTAGAAGGAGTCAGATTATGGGACTTAATCATTTGGACAGTACATTCCTGTTAGTACAATCCTATCTAGTTGTCTGCGTCATTTAAATCGTAATTTCAACTGCATAACGGAAGAACATCAATTTTGGAAAATATTCTCCTTATCCGATTGCAGACAGATAAAATGCTTAGGCTAGTAAAAATTGCGTGCTATATTTTGAAATGCTAAAAGACCGGAGGCTACAGACTAAGCAAGGCAGCTTGAAAAATATTCATTTATATCAGGTTGATATTTGGTACAACTCGTATGTGTTACAGTTACCATAGTTTTGAGTAACCTACCATAGTTACTCGAATGTCCTGGTACATGGAGACATTTTCCGGAACCGGTCCCTTGACCATGGATCGTACACGAGCCATTTGACTCTCCACATCTTGGGGTGGCTGAAAAGGTTTGCAACATGGAGCTGATCAAGTTCTAATCATGTTATGGAGTAGAATTTATTAAAGTAAATAAAATGCACCCTATGCGGATCTAGTTTAGTTTGACCTTGGGACCACATTCGAAATTTGTGAGGCACGTGGTGACATAATAGATAGTACGTCTGTTATTCGATCCATTCCTTTTTCCGGTAGTAGCAGTAGCAGTAACTTTCACTGGCCAAATTCAAATCTTGGAACACGATTTTATTTTATAACCCGTAATCGGGGTCGAAATACCATNNTCATTTATGCTTCGACCTTGTGGGACATTTACATTGTGTGGTTCTTGCGGCTACTTTTATCGGTTTCTAAAGCAATGAAGTGTTCGTTGATTCAATGATAAGGATAGATAAAAAGCAGGTCTTGTTAACCGTGAGAAGAGCCAATTTACTTGGCGACTCGATCCACCGCTGGAATCTTGAGGTCCACCACCTTTTCTGCATTCTTTCCGCATTGCTGAACGAACTACTGACTGAATAATAGTAATGTGAAACTGAAACTGAAAATACCTCATTTTAATTTTGGAGTGCGAAAAGATCCGAGGTGGAATGTGCTTCGGTGGAAACAGCTAAGGCTACAGTACTTTTTCCTATCTAAACATTAGGGTATTGGCTTTGCATAATGAGAAGTAAAACAATATACTGTATTTGTTCTAGATAAATTCCCTCCAGACGGTATATGAAGTGAGGAATATTCATACAAATATCAATCCAAACATTCACCATCTAAATCAGTCCAAGGTTTCTGTTTTTTCTCCCACCTACTGTTGAAACTCACCGGTCCAGGCTGGCCAGGCATACCCGGCCTACCATTGTCACCATCCAAACCAGGATCTCCTGGAGGACCGGGTGGTCCTGGTGGTCCATTAGGTCCTCTCAAACCGGGTGGACCTTCTGGTAGTGTGAGCGGAGTAGTGGTCGGTGGTGGAGTGCGTCTAGGTGTGGTTGTTGTTGTTGGTCTAGGGGTGGTCGTTGTCGGTTTTGTAGTATCCGGCATTTCAGTGTAAGTGCGCGGTGTAGGCCTTGGTCGTGCTGGTTCCTGAATGTGGGGTCGGATGAGCGACAGGAGTTTAAAGCCTATCGGTAAAATTCAAGATATCTTGAATGGTATAAGTTACTTAATTAATCAAAGTATATAACGGTGTGAATGATTGGCGTAGTTTCTTCTAGAACTAACCTGATTAGTGTTAGCTCATGCATTTGGCAGCAGTGGTCATTTATTGAAGTAAACTATATGAAGAAGTGCGGAAGTCACTCAATGAATGTAATATCTGGTGTGTGAACTCCAAACGGGTGATCGATCTATTTGTCTAATGACTGACTGTGGTCATCATTGGTCATCATTCTCTCCTTCCATCAAACCTAGTCAAATGTATATTGGTATGAATTAATTGGTAACATATTACTGATAATTCGGTTAAATTTCGTTGCTGTTAGAATGTGTTGGAATGATGCAGTTTGGTATGGCTTATTGATAAGAACTTCAATCGCAACAGAAGTGACTTTCAAAAGTTAGAAACAAAGGATGTTGAGAAATTCTTCCAAACGATTATGCAAACTGTCTATCCACAAGTGTAATGCAATCATAAATTCATTTCTAACTTTTATGTTTATTTATGCTCATGTGAACTGTTTCATCGATCTCAATAATGTATAAAAGTAGAACTACTTAATGTGTAACATAAAAACACTAAGAAAATAATTTTCACATCCGTTTCTTTCGTTATATTCAAGGAAAATCCTAGTTACTTATAACACGAAGCATGTATGAGCTTTAGAATGTGAGGGAAACTTTATTCTTTTGCCTCCAAGATTTAATGAATAAACTTTGTCCGTGGCTTATAAACTACTACGGTAATAGAACCAGCATACTGGGAACAAAACGTTATCCATACTCAGACGCAGAAAATGGGAGAGAGATCAACAAAATAGCGGAAACTCACGGTTCGATTTTTTTCTGTTCATGGACGAAGGAGAGAGAGGGGGAGAGATAAAAAGGTCTCAAATTTGACTTGTGGTGCTCATCAGAGGAAAGAGGTTTGCAGTCAGAACACACGATTGCGATCACATGGCGTTTTACGTGCGAGGAACTGAACAGAAACGTTTTTTTTGGTATCAAAACACTATACCCGGGGTGATTCAAAAGATATGAATGGTTTGAACTGATTGCTTTAAATTGCTCCTCGTCCAATCAAACAACACCATTAGAGGTTGTATACATTTCTACTGGTGCGTTTTTGCACCATTTCTAAAAGAAATTCTTTTTGTTTTGAAACTAGGTGCATATTTTCCTTTTTGCTCCACATACAAGATCGATTAAAAGAACCCACAGGAATAACAGATCTCACATTTGTTTTGGGATAAGAACTTTTCCGAAATGATAAAGATTAAGCCTAGATTACTAGAAAAATGATACAAATGAATTACTGATAATTTCAACAATGATCCATTGACCTTGCAACTATCACCAGTTTTCTCAGCCAATATTTTAGAATTAGATTTTAATGTTGATATGTTTTTGTGGATAAATGGTAGTGATAATAGTAGTATATACGATATTTTTCTGTATTGATGCAGATATGAAAATGTCGTTTTAGATTGGTTGACTAAGATCACTCATTAGCCCTTTTAAATTTCCAAATTGTATTTACGTGTACCGTGGCGGGGTGTAATAAAATGTTCCTCATAGAATGCCACGTACGAATGATGTTCATTCTCTGGCGACTCATGAGTACCCCTTTTGGACATTTTTCATACCCACCGTCACTCAGAAGTCTACAGTGGTCCCGCCAAAAGGTAAACAATACAAACCGAGCTACGTGAAACAATTTGTTAAATATAAACGTTTCATCCTATTAATCATATTAACACAAATAAACATCATACAATTGGACTGATTTATTACTATATCATGTTATCACAAAGCAAACGCGCTCCAATTCCTTCCCTTTGTCATACTGAACTCTTTGGATATAGAGATGGATTACAGAAATTGAGGCATTTAAAGCTTCCGTATATTGCTCTAATTTTTACCCTGGTTTCCGGCTATTTAACCTGGTATTATTTAAAATAAAATACCATGTAGCCCCGTGATTCCAGTACTGGATTGAAGCTGAGCCAATGAAAATTCAGCCGTTTGCTGGGATCACACTCTGGTGATGACCAGACACTTCGAGAGTTGCAAAAATGTGCAAACTATCAACTATATCTAACTACATCATGATTGAACAGTTTTCATCTCAATCATCTCTTAATAATCAAATCATTTAAAATCAAACGCCGAACTTTAGTTTTACAGTGTGTAAACTAAATCCACTGAAGTCACCCTGATTCGTCACAAAGAAAACAACCTTATTTCTTACTGACAAACTCCAAAGAAAAAAAAACAGGCTACTGACTCGAGGAAGGAATCTTGTTGGCGGGGGGGATGGATCTTGGCAGTCGAACTTACTAATACAAGTCGGACAGCACGCGCCGGCCTCGAGCAACTGTCCTTCATCTGCGCCGCATTCCAGAGCCGGACAAGTTTCTGTCTGGCAGTCAACCTGCCCGGAGCTACCATCACACTTACACGTGACACAAGGCAATGAAGCTAATCGTACCTCTTCACCGGGACGCAAAACGCGACCATCTTCCATGCGACAATCACCTGTTTTCGAAGGGGAAAAGCGCACGGTTAATGTCACCCTCATGTTTGGCAATTGTTTCACCGTCTTTTTTAAATTTTCCCTTTTAGGAGAATAATCTAGTATACAGTTTGGCTGGTATCTTCGAGAAGATTCAACAAAAGTGGTTCTATGACCATCTGGATTATAAAGGAATAATAGCATATGATACACTCTCAATCTCTCATACATATTCATGAAACTAAATTGTATAACCTAATATTGTAATAGACAAGTAGTTATGTATTGAATAATTTGGACAACGGACAGACAACCTAATAAACAATCTGAGCCTTCAAACGGACATGAATGGAACATCCAGAAGCTATGCATGAACGGTTACCAAGATCTGGAAGTTGAGTGTAACTCACGTTGTGCGTTCACCGGGACCGGTGCCAATGTACTGAGAAGATAGATGAGCAGTATAGGCCAACTGGCCGTAACAATTAGTCTGCGGTCCATGAACGAACCGAACATTGGGAAATCAGTGAATCACAGACATAGACAAGAAAGCACGAGCGTACACACTTGCCAGACAAGCAATGTCTCGTCACAATGTTATCACCAGAATACGACAAAGTTCGTCAGATGGAAGACGAACAAATGCACGGATCAGCCGAGCCGATGAGCTTCCTAGTACGGTCGAACAAACGTCAATCGCCTGCTCGGTCGCTTGCTCGCTCGACCGGGTTGGAACGTCCGTTCGTGCACGCACCAGATTTGTCCCTAGTCGTACCGGTTGAAAGTCAGTGCCTAGGTTTAAGATCGACTCGTCGACAGGGACACAAGCGCACAGCAACTGGTCTGAATTCGGTGGTGCTGGGTCGTCAGTCAATCAATCTGCTTGCCCAACCTCCCACCCCAGCACACTCCTAAGCTTGTTATGTCTTGGTGGTCCGTAAGTGTACTGCTTGCACTGTTGCGAGTGTCTGCATGCTATTGTGTGCTTTTGTACGTCTGTACGTATGTCTGGGTGCTTGAACGTGAATGCATGCGTCCGTGATGGAGTGCGTGAGTGTGCGTTTGCGCAAATGAAGGAGAGTTGATTGGATCACCCTCGTAATGAAACAGGTCGCCCACGCTTGAGCGAACGCACTAGCACACAACACAGGAAATCTCCTCGAATCGTTTTCTATGAAGAAACGCAATACAAACTCCGGTCTCCCTGCATTTGTTTGGCACAGAAAGACAAAGTGGAGCACAAGGATTATGGACATGTATGCTAGACACTTCGCCATTGGTCGAGATTGGTCTCCCCACTACTTCCAGATCCTCTTGGTATGGTTTTCCGCTGCGATCGGCTTGAGTGCCATGGCGCCAGGACCAGAAAGGGGTTGAGCGTGCGTGGGTGCATAATTTTAGTCGAAGAGATTTTGGATACATGAAAGGATACACAGACTGAAAGTATCACACCTACGCCTGTGGCATCGACCTTGGGGAAACGAATGCGCAGTCTATTGATCGTCTGCAGATGATTACCGATCCGACGGACCCTAGATACAGACCGTCTCGGCAAGCCGGCCGGGTTCCCGGGGGTACCCATTGCTGGCACCCAAATGTGACCTGATAATTGGACAACCTAAGTAACATGCCATTTTATCGCTCATTTACCTTGGACACGTAACAACAGTCCACGAAAATGTCGACGTGTCCGCCTGACATTCAGCTCAGTCGAAATGGTGTGTTCGCTTGTGTGCGCAAACAGGCTCGAATTTAGGCAAAAAATCGCAACAGCTTAATGTTTTCCTAAATCCGGAACATTCGATCCGATAGTCTAGGTCCCAGATCTGTTCGATGGGGAGCTTCTATGAATGTGCCAAGCGTGGAACCGTGGAAAGTGAGAACGCCTGTAATCTTACCGGATATGGTTAGGCTATGGCACCGCAACCATAAATAGAATAACCACAAATTGTACGGAAATATAATATTTGGGAACTGGAGAATAATATTATGAATATAATTTGAGATTACTTCCCGAGTTTTCACTCTAACTGCGAACTTCCCTTAATTTTTTGATCTCAAAACGAGTTAGATCATTCATAGCATACGCTTATCATCACTGATCAGTTAAGCCCCTGTCTCCGGGGCTGCAAGTATCGCATTCGTATCTACCATTTGACACTCAAGGAAGTTATCTAAAAAGGTTTTATTCTAGACTGATATGTTTTTAATTCACGCAACATCCCAAATAAAACCAACCAATTAGAAAAATCTTACCTTGAATCTCCTTTCCTTAACAAATCGGCTACTTGAAAAATAATTCGGTTGATGTGCATCAGGTGGCTAGGTTGGGTTTGTATATGAAACCGAATTGTTTCACTTAAACACATCAATAGGTGTAAATATCCTACTCATTTGTAGTGGGACGCACGGCTGGGACAATGCTCACCATGAGTCGTACACAGCCGGCAGTGATTGACGAGCTCTATGTAATGCGGTCATGGTATTTAGCAAGCTGTGACAAACCAACCAGGCGGGATCAAGCAGTTCGTGTGATGGATTCCTTTGCCAAGGTTCGAATCCCGGAGGATTAGGTATATATGCTCTACTACTAATTGTTATGCAGAAGAAAGTATTTTTTAACGCTCTCATCCCTCGTACTGATGAGTAACACATTGGCTTCACATATTGTTTAGACTTTTGCAATCTAGTGTCTAATTATTTTACCAAAAATCAAACTTCAGTGTTGGTAGTTAGCACAGATCACTTTCTACAACACCAACGTTATCCGTTCACTAAATCCTACGATGCGGTTGTCGGTTTATTCTAGTCCGTTTCACAATTATCGAACAATGCGTTTGATTTTTTATCGGCATGAGTTTCACCGCTTAGAACTTCATTTATCTTCAGAGAATTGTGAGGTCTTTGTTTCTACCTTCGGATTTGTTTGCAATGGGCGAAACGAAGAACCGGACAGGTAGTCCTGTTTTGTTGTAACTCTCCAACGATGCAGAAATTTCTCGTCAATTGCAAACCTAGTAATATATGGAGCTTTTCGACCCCTCTCTCTTCCCGGTGCATCCAGTACCATTTTTAGTCACACGACTCAGGGGTTGTTTGCGATACTATCCTTCATCCGTAAAGTACACTTATTAAATCTGTCAATAATGCGCTACCTCTGAGTAAA